AGGATATGCGAAAGGCTTATTGCCATGAGCCGGTGACCGATTTGTTAAATTTGAAAATTAAACAACCAGGTAACGAATTTATTCGTTATACGTACAATGTAAACAATAAAGTTATAAACACGCGGATCAACACTCTGAACGTCCGTACACTTCGAATGCTAAGACGCAACTAACAACATAGGAATGATTGTAAATCTACGAATGTTCAAAAAAATAATACTACTGCGTTAGCCGAACACCATTTTAAAACAGGACACGAGTTCAAATTTGAAGATACAGCCATTTTAGACAGAGAAGACAACTGGTACAAAAGGAACATAAGCGAAATGTACCACATAACGAATAACAATACAGTTAACTATAGGACAGACACGAACAATCTAAACAACATCTATAATGAAATTTTAAAATTCAATTATTATAACAGGACACACAAATAGAGGACATCATAATACTGAAGATATATAGATTATTAAACACTTGTCTAGATAGAATCAGTATTCGATTACGTGTGATAAGATAAGGTGTTTTAGGATCAAATTGTATTGTAATATGTTAAGTTTAATTGAAATGTATGACTCTGTAAAAAAGATTATGTGTATGGACACGTGAACTGTAAATGATCAAGGTAAAAAATAAGAATTTATTGTAATGTTTTATATTTATTAACAAGTCATAATAAAAAATTTTTTAGTTGCTGATGAAGTCCCCAGTAAGGGACGAAACGTACAATTAGTTCAAAATAAATTGTTCATTAGATTTATTAACCGTCTATAATTCCCTTTGAGACTTATATATTAATATATTTTTTGGCCAAGAATATTGATAATTAAATTAGAATAGACAATTTATTAAAACAAAAACGACTAGTATGCAAGAAGGCAATACTTAACTATTACTTACATAATGTATCATAGTTTACCAAACTATGTAAACTATACAAATTTTTTTTCGTAGCCTTACCGATGAGGTTCGAAAAACGGGCAAACGTAATTTCTTGCCCCGGAATTGCAATGAGTGGAATCCAGTTTAAAGAAATAACATTTAAAGACAGGAATTTAAAAATTGTCACGGAGGAACTTCGATTTATCCAGAATATTAATGACACAAGGATGGACATCGACGACGTATTAAAAATAGTACTAGGATTAATTTCAAAAAATATTAGCATGAAAAATAAAGAAAAGATATTGTTAACGAATGAGTCAATAAAGAAAAATGAGAATATTTGCGATTTTTTCGAGAATACCATAAAAAGGACGAGGAAAAACTTCAATATAAAATTAAT